TAGAATCGTTGCTGGCTGGTAAGAAAGAGACGATTAGATCAGAGACAAGCAAGAGCGAATGGACGATTTACAGGGAAAGCTGGAGGCATAAATTCCATATAACAAAACTCGAGACCCTGCTTGGGCTTCTCGATAATGACGGTGTCGAAGCGGATCAGGTAAACAAGATAAAAGATGATGTTGAATATTACATTGATTCATCGCAAGAGCCGGACTTTGAGAGAAAATGGGTTCATCTACGACGATATTATTGGACTCGACGGTAGAACTCAACGGCACAGCCGACGGATAGTAATAACAACAACGGGACCGGCGGATCCCCAAGCAGCGTTACCTCCGGAGGAAGTCCGTCACATCGCCTGTCACGGTTCAACACATTTGAGACGCGTCCTCGCAAGCGGCTGTTTAGTAGTTGCCGGTGTGCAACTGGCGCTGCATTGTTCCAGCAGCAAAGCAGCAGCCCTATCAAATGGAAACAACGTAAGCTATTCAAGCGACTCTGGTGCAGTTTCAGCATCAACATCAGTTTTCCAGCACCCACGGATCTGGGAGGCGGCACGGAGTACGAATTCTGTTATGTGTGGTGGCGACAAACGCAAACGAAGAACAGCGAAAGCAATGCCAACAGTAAATCCAAAGTGTATAAAGCGGATTTCCAGTGTTTTGTATACTTCACACAATAAACGACGGTTACTTCACAGTCACAACCTCAACAACTTAATAAGCCAACACCTGTGCGTGCTACGGCTAAGTACGCCATCGACTAGTGATAGTGAGTTCTGCAGATTAATTTGGTTGGGTGCTCTGTTTCACTAATAATTGAGGTTCTTATGCAGACCAGATTATCCAGCTCAACACCTAACAAAAACCAGCAACATTTGCCCACGACGGCTGCCATAGTCGCAGCTTCCGGGCTCAAACGCAGAACAGTAGCAGTGGAAGCGGAAATTGTCATACCACTGTGGGAACGGGAGGGCACAGACGTCAACTAGTGGTCATATTCCCGCGGTACATCAACACGCTCCAACGCCTGGACAGGCGCTGCTATGACGGGTACAACAGCCGCGAGTAATGTATGTTCGGCGACGATCGCGAGCACTGTCAATGTTCAATGCCCATCGGTGATCAAGCTACACCAACAATTGCGTTTTGCTGCTGTAGCAAAACACAATACATGTGGGTGGACGAATTTGATATCTATTGTGTGCTTACTAAAAAGACTATCATTTTCTAGCCCTTCTGGAAAATGGTCCTGTTTTTGCAGCATCAACAAGCAATAGTTCCAACTGTGGCAACTATCGTAGGATCTGGAGCGCAGGCACAGCACATGTGGCACAGCTATCAAATCTTCAAACAAATCCCTCACGCTTACAAAATGGTTAGATATTTTTTTCCCGTACTTAAGCTCTTTGCATAGATCTTATCAATTTATAGATTTCTCTTATAAAATTACGTCTACTTTGAGCAATTTAAAAAATGAAAAAGGGATAAACTTCAAAATTCTAATCAATCCTTTTTATTGTGGTTGCCCGTATGAACATAGAATATATTATATTTAGTTGATTAGAAATGTATACTACCTATTAAATACATTTCAACTAGTACATACCACAATATAAAAATTATAAATTGATATAATATAATTATCGTATGCACATTTCTTCATATGTTAAAAATGTAAAACATGATTAATCTGCAGAATTAAGCCTATATTAATTTATAAACAATAATTTATTTGCAGGTCTGCCCTGACTCAGACAGTAATAACGATAGCAGCAATGTGGTCGATACGATTTCCCCTTAAAATAATGGCACAGGAAGACCATTAATCGATCTGCGATCGTTAATAATTCACAAAATCAGCAGCAATCGGGCAACATCGACACAAGGCAGTCACAGAAATCACTCCCCCAAAATTTCAACTCAAGGAAACGAATGCCAATCAACAGCAATTGACATCACAACAGCAACTAACATCTTCAAAATACCCCCGTTTCTACGACAGCGATTGGTTCAATTGTGGGTACGTCACAAGGATCAGGAAACATCAACGGACCTACAAGCAACAGTGCTCTCATTAATCTAACAAACGCTGCTGGACAGCCAATCAGCGGCCACGGCAAAGCTCATGCGTGCCAACATCAGCGATGGCCACGACGGAAGCGCACATTCCCACATTACTTGGGTGACACCCATTAGGGCCAACGCCTCTTCAGAAGGAGCATCAAATGCAGTTCCAAATGATGGAGGCCGCCTATTATCATCTTCCCCAGCCCATGGACACAGAAAAGCTCCAGACTTATTTTCATCGCGCACCAGTGCCTACGCCACCCACAGAATACCCACAGGTGTGTTATATTTACCAAAATTAGTATATGCATGAACTACCATATCTTATATATTTTTATCAAAGGCACAGCTGCCAATATTTACGACACCGTTAGATTCTATCAACGCTCTCTCAACAGAGACGTGCTTTTTTTTGTATTCAACTATATGGAAGGCTCCAAGGCTCAATATCTGGCGTCGAAGGCCTTAAAAAGCAAAGCTGGCGTTTTCACACAAAGTACATGATGTGGTTTCAAAGGCACGAAGAACCCAAAATTATCAACGATGATTACGAACAGGTAAGCAATAAATCTCCGATAAAAAAGAGCCTGTTACCTAAAAAGTATGATTCATTTTAGGGTACGTACATCTATTTTGACTATGAAAAGTGGAGTCAAAGAAAAAGGAAGGATTCGCTTTTGAATACAAGTACTTAGGGAGGACAAGGGACTGAATTGAAAATGTTGCAGTGTGCCATTCTGTCTTGTCTATAAAAATCAATACATAAAATAAAAACAAATACACATCCACAATCTTAACAAAAAACAATGAAATAGACTCCAGAGATGAACTAAAAAAATAAAAAAGTAGGCAACTAGCCGTAAGCATAAGTTTAAAGATAAATGAAGTATGATACTTATTCTGAATGCATGTTTAAGTCCATTTTTCAATTTAAATGTTTCATTGTTTGTTACACTCAGCCAAATTTATGCAATGTTAAACTTGAGATTCAAACAAAGTACATTTCTCTAAAGTGTCTTTTTCATTTGAACTAAATATATATTTTCAATGAATTTATTGGTTTCTATCACCTTCCGATTCGCATATTTTATAAACGCATTGACCGAATGCAGTCATCTTTTAATAACAAATAAAAATAAATAAAAAACGATATCTTGGATATGAACAAATTATAAATCTTAAAAGAATTAGGTAATGTTTTTACGATTTCAAAAATTTTTATATCGATGTCATGATCTGCTAAAAATGTAAAAAAATATTTAATTATGAGTTAAATGAGTTGTAAGCATAGGAATAAAGAAAAATTTGGAAGCGAGTTTCCCAAATTTTTTGTTTTTCTCATCGTTTGTCATTATTATAATATAGAAGGAAATGGTGAATGTAGAGGGAAGGATTTTCAGCCCACAAGTATATAAATAGCCATGACAATCATTCGTAATTTTCTGAACTCTGATATCTCGGGAACTATAAAAGAAAAGATTAAACTGAGCATGTTTTGTATGTGAGTGAGTACATACATATGTATGTATTTTTTTTTCAGAAGTTGGCCACTTCCACCAAAAATTCGGAAAACTAAAAAATGCCATCTCCGTCGGTCCCGTATGATAGAACTATGGGAGCTAGGAAAAACAGCTACTCCAACAAACCGAGTAAAACAGTCCACAAGCCTTTTGTTTTGACGTTTCTTAATCAATCCCAAAATACGGTTAGGATTTTTACAATTTTGGTATATGGATGACAACCCCATGTTACACAAAGTCAACCAAAAACGTATGCCTTATCAAAAAATTCTAACTCTTATAATTCCCAAGATTTAAACGCTGTTGCATGCTTTGTCCTAACTTTCTAGCTCTTTAAATTGGCCGAAATCTCAACTGCCAGTTACGGGTATCAAATAGTCGCGGCACTTGATTAGGCCATTTCATCTTGTTTTCAAAAATGTAAACAAACTGGTAACTGGTATTAAAACAATACACATACAGGCAAACATAAAAATTTATTAAATAACTTGCACCTGAATTTAAGAATATATGGCATTCGTCGTGTTTCAAATGTCATCTTCATTATGTTCGTCATGACTCCAACAATCTACATCATTAACGTTCTTTGTGAATTCATTAAGAGCAGCGAAATGGGTGTTATTGCTCTTTGCTGTATCACAGCTATTAGACTGTATCTCAATGATGGGCTCCATGTCTTTAAAGAAGTCCATCTTGCTAAGCTCTGATATATCGTTTACTGGATGCACTTGAATGTCCAGCGCACTGAGATCATCGATAACACTACGTTCTGTTTGCGACAGTGATTTGTTTATCCCAAGTGATACATGTGAGGGGTATGCGTAATGTAAAGATAATACACCTCGAGTTGTTTGGATCTTTGGGGTCGATGTTCTACTATTGATTTCAAAATTGTGTACTGTATTATCCTCCGCTGATGAGAGCTGATGCTCGCATCTAGTAACCCAATCAGAACAAGTCCCCTCCCTATCTAGGCAAAGTGATTTACCTGTGGCATATTCAGATGGTTCCCTCACGGAGTCACTTCTCTTACTTAAATCAGTATTCTCATCTTCCCCTCCGTCTGGGCTAAGGCGAAGCGATGAGGGAGCAACGTTGTTATCCGTTGGCAACGGACTGCCGGAGACCATAAAATCTTCTTCCGCGTCAAAGGACCTTGTATTTATTAGGGGGACTAATAGACCGCAGCTCTGGTAAACTATTTTGAGAATTTGTTAGCACTGCGGCGTGAGGGCGGCCATCAGAGAAACAGCGGACACGATCCCCTCCCAAAACTTTATTAGCTCCTAGTATGGGAACCAAATCAGCCATGCATCTCAGCGTTTTGGCAACTAAGATGCTGTTGGTATCGCGCATAGCAAGCTGTAAATGAGGAAGAATATCATTTAGAAGCTGTTCGTTGCTTAATAAGGGAACGTAGTCCATAAAATAGTCTAGGAGTATCAAACGAATTTGTGCATCACGCAAGCGAAACATCTTTAGTATCTGTGGCATTAAATATTGAACGTAGATTTGTGAAGAAAACAAAGACCCTATCGCTTTATCCATAGTCTTTACTCGTAGTATATGGAGTCACGTATTTCTGTGCAGTAATATCTAGCAGAACCATTCTTGAAAGCAAGTTACAAGCCAGCTGCGAAGCAACAACTTGCTCGTGAAAGATTCGTAGGCGTTCAATCAAATTTTCAAAGAATTTCTGGCGCTCATGCACCGACTTTAGCGGCAACTCAACGAGAAAGGAATGTATTAGCACGAATTCGTGGTTAAAGAATGGGTGAAGCAGTATGGCGGAAAGCCTGGGCCTTAGCTTAGTGTTTTGGTGTTTCATGTGTGAGCTGCAGTATGTAAGAAAATCCTGTGAATATGGAATGTCAACCCCATCATTAGTTTCAGTCCTATAATTGCCCAACACCTGCTCACATAAAATTGCAAAAAAAAACTGTTCAAAGTTTTCTGGACTGATGTTCGGGCCCATAAAAGAATGAGCCAAATCAATCAGCTGTTGGTTGACCTCTGTGGCTCTCCAAACGTATTGAAAGCCAGCTAGTCGCCAGCTGCCTTTGTCCGTTACGTAAATGGAATGTGTGCTTATATTTAAGTGCCTGGCCAGAGCCGTCTCGATTAAAAATATAAGGCCACATAATATCGTCCGCAGGCCAAGACAGATCTCAATGCCGCTTTGCTGGCCCAGTACCTCGCTAAGGGGCCTGACTCTCTCGGTTGCAATATGTTTTTTCCCTGACTGGTCCCAGGTAGCTACATATTTCAATATACTTGGGTGGCGATAGACCATAAGGTTCTGGTAAAAAAAAACAGTCGATAAGCCTTTGTTTTCTTGTCATAAATTCTAAACATACATACTTTTATCGCTCTTTCCATTGGACCCATTCCGTGAGTCCATACATGCCTCCTGACGAAGAATTTGCTCTGGAATATAGAAAGAAGCTGGGTACAGCCTTCATCGTTGAAAGTTGTCTGTGACTCTGCGTTATATAGTTTCCAAAATTCATTTGACTCTACTGAGTTTTTTTCAATTATTAAGCCATTCAGTTTGCTGCCTTCATTGCCCATTGTTGTTGAAACTTAAATCGAGACTTTTACAACTGCAAAATACTCAATATTAACTTAAACTTCTGGAAAAGTTAATTATGTTTATTATTCATTTTTTTTGTTAGTCGATTTAATTACTTTTTGTGAGACAATGTGCTGCAATTGCAATACGGCCCAATTTAGCCATCAAATTATTCTTATCGTTGGAGTGATTTAATATTTGGCACCGTTTACACTAGAAGTGGAAACCAAGTGAACGAGAGCGTAAATAATTTTAATATATTTATAATCCAAAAATCTGAACAGCGTGTAAATGTACCTCAACATCACAAGGGTATAAAATAAAATTAACTAAAACTCTAAACATATAAAAAGATTGCATATAAAGGAATGACGGAGTAATTGGAGCATAATTGTTTTGGTAAAACTTCTGCAGTAGATTTTTAGCAAGCTGCGGCGACTCAAAAGTCTGTCACTGCATCGGCATATTTACCTCCCGGGCTGCCCTTGCACAGTATGTAACTTCAAATCTAAATTTAAAAAACAGTTTTTATTTATATTATTTTTGTAATATAAAGTCCTTCCTTATGTTGTTGTTTCGAGATTAAACCTTGTATGTCTCGGCTTCTTATCGGGGATAAAGTGAGATAGAATCGTTGCTGGCTGGTAAAAAGAAACGATCAGATCGAGACAAACAAGAGCGAATGGACGATTTACGGGGAAAGCTGGAGCGACATAAATTCCATATAACAAAACTCGAGACCCTGCTTAGGCTTCTCGATAATGACGGTGTCGAAGCGGATCAGGTAAACAAGATAAAAGATGATGTTGAATATTACATTGATTCATCGCAAGAGCCGGACTTTGAAGAAAATGAGTTCATCTACGAAGATATTATTGGACTCGACGAAGTAGAACTCAGCGGCACGGCCACGACGGATAGTAATAACAGCAACGAGACCAGCGGATCCCCAAGCAGCGTTACCTCCGGAGGAAGTCCGTCACAGTCGCCTGTCACGGTTCAACACATTTTGTACACGTCCTCGCAAGCGGCTGTTAGTAGTTGCAGTAGTGCAACTAGCGCTGCATTGTTCCAGCAGCAACAAGCAGCAGCCCTATCAAATGGAAACAACGTGGGCTATTCAAGCGACTCTGGTGCAGTTTCAGCATCAACATCAGTTTCCATACCCACGGATCTGGGAGGCGGCACAATTGCAATTATGTGTGGTGGCGACAAACGCAACAAGAACAGCGAAAGCAATGCCAACAGTAAATCCAAAGTGTGTATTATAAACGGATTTCCAGTGTTTTGTATACTTCACGCAATAAACGATTTACTTCACAGTCACAACCTCAACAACTTATTAAGCCAACACCTGTGCGTGCTACGGCTAAGCCGCCATCGACTAGTGATAGTAAGTTCTGCAGATTAATTTGGATGGGTGTCTGTTTCACTAATAATTGGTTCTTATGCAGACAAGATTATCAGCTTAACTCCTAACAAAAACTAGCAACATTTGCCCACGACGGCTGCCATAGTCGCAGCTTCCGGGCTCCAAACGCAGAACAGTAGCAGTGGAAGCGGAAATTGTCATACCACTGTGGGAACGGGAGGAGCACAGACGTCAACTAGTGGTCATATTCCCGCGGTACATCAACACGCTCCAACGCCTGGACAGAGCGCTGCTATGACAGGTACAACAGCCGCGAGTAATGTATGTTCGGCGACGATCGCGAGCACTGTCAATGTTCAATGCCCATCTGTGATCCAAGCTACACCAACAATTGCGTTTGCTGCTGTAGCAAAACACAATACATGTGGGTGGACGAATTTGATATCTATTGTGCTTACTAAAAAGACTATCATTTTTCTAGCCCTTCTGGAAAATGGTCCTGTTTTGCAGCATCAACAAGCAATAGTTCCAACTGTGGCAGCTATCGTAGGATCTGGAGCGCAGGCACAGCAACATGTGGCACAGCTATCAAATCTTCAAACAAATCCCTCACGCTTACAAAATGGTTAGATATTTTTTCCCGTACTTAAGCTCTTTGCGTAAGATCTTATCAATTTATAGATTTCTCTTATAAAATTACGTCTACTTTTCGTAATTTAAAAAATGAAAAAGGATAAACTTCAAAATTCTAATCAATCCTTTTTATTGTGGTTGCCCGTATGAACATAGAATATATTGTATTTAGTTGATTAGAAATGTATACTACCTATTAAATACATTTCAACTAGTACATACCGCAATATAAAAATTATAAATTGATATAATATAATTATCGTATGCACATTTCTTCATATGTTAAAAAATGTAAAACATGATTAATCTGCAGAATTAAGCCTATATTAATTTATAAACAATAATTTATTTGCAGGTCTGCCTGACTCAGACAGTAATAACGATAGCAGCAATGTAGTCGATACGATTTCCCTTAAAATAATGGCACAGGAAGCCATTAATCGATCTGCGATCGTTAATAATTCACAAAATCAGCAGCAATCGAGCAACATCGACACAAGGCAGTCACAGAAATCACTCCCCCAAAATTTCAACTCGGAAACGAATGCCAATCAACAGCAATTGACATCACAACAGCAACAACATCTTCAAAATACCCCCGTTTCTACGACAGCGATTGGTTCAATTGTGGGTACGTCACAAGGATCAGGAAACATCAACGGACCTACAAGCAACAGTGCTCTCATTAATCTAACAAACGCTGCTGGACAGCCAATCAGCGGCCACGGCAAAGCTCATGCGTGCCGACATCAGCAGATGGCCACGACGGAAGCGCACATTCCCCCATTACTTGGAGTGACACCATTAGGGCCAACGCCTCTTCAGAAGGAGTATCAAATGCAGTTCCAAATGATGGAGGCCGCCTATTATCATCTTCCCATTCAGTTTGCTGCCTTCATTGCCCATTGTTGTTGAAACTTAAATCGTGACTTTTACAACTGCAAAATACTCAATATTAACTTAAACTTCTGGAAAAGTTAATTATGTTTATTATTCATTTTTTTTATTAGTCGATTTAATTACTTTTTGTGAGACAATGTGCTGCAATTGCAATACGGCCCAATTTAGCCATCAAATTATTCTTATCGTTGGAGTGATTTAATATTTGGCACCGTTTACACTAGAAGTGGAAACCAAGTGAACGAGAGCGTAAATAATTTTAATATATTTATAATCCAAAAATCTGAACAGCGTGTAAATGTACCTCAACATCACAAGGGTATAAAATAAAATTAACTAAAACTCTAAACATATAAAAAGATTGCATATAAAGGAATGACGGAGTAATTGGAGCATAATTGTTTTGGTAAAACTTCTGCAGTAGATTTTTAGCAAGCTGCGGCGACTCAAAAGTCTGTCACTGCATCGGCATATTTACCTCCCGGGCTGCCCTTGCACAGTATGTAACTTCAAATCTAAATTTAAAAAACAGTTTTTATTTATATTATTTTTGTAATATAAAGTCCTTCCTTATGTTGTTGTTTCGAGATTAAACCTTGTATGTCTCGGCTTCTTATCGGGGATCGGGTTCCGGCTAGTCGTCTGGTTCTCCCAGGTGTGAGTAGACCACGATAGTTGGATCTGTCGGCATACAATATTTATTTTTTTTTAGACCTGGTGTTCATTCGGTGGGACGAAAAGAAGCAAGGGCTATGGCCCTGTTGTTTGGGGCCGCGGAATACACCTTCCCGACCTTGAGCTGCTGGAACATTTTTTTTGGCCAACTCCCCAGCACTGGGCAACGGGTCTGCAACTCGCCACATCACACCGCTCCCTTACCCTTTAATCGTATTTTCTCCGCTCCTCTAGGAACCAGCGCTATTTTGGAACCAGTTCCCGTTTCACGGCCGTCTCTGGTATCGGCATCTGCTGCTCCTCTCTATCACCGGTACTGTTTTGGTAGTGTCCATTTTACTTTATTTTAGCAGACCATAGTAGAGCTGTAAACAATTCTACTTTTTAAGAATCGATTATTTTCGATTCAATTCTTATAAAGATCGATTAAATCGATTTAAAATCGAAAACAAAAAAAAACTTTTTAAGAAAAAGCTATATTTTGCTTAAAAAGTGGTAAGGAAACACCAAACTTACAGTTGCAAACAAAACTAAAATACGTTCAAAAATTTGTTTGAGATCAATGTTTTGTTTATTTATTTAAAACCCATGGGTTTTTATTTGTAAGTACAAGCTTGTCTACGTTTTTTGGTTTCAAGGCCGTTCTGGGGTCGGTGACTATGCGTTGGGCGCTGACAACAATCTACTTTAATTATTTTTCCCCAACACCAACACACACTGATTCTGAAAGCGATTGATATTTACTAGTTTCCTTGAGTTATGTTACTTAAATAAATTTTTTTTTGCTAAATTAAATTTGTTTTAAGGCTAGCAAACTGCTCAATGCATCGATTCCCTAAAAAAAGAATCGATTTTTTCGGTCATCCAGAAAGATCGATTAAATTGATTTAAAAATCGAATTGTTTACAGCTCTAGACCATAGCAATCCATATTTAATTCTTATATAACATGCATATGTATATATGTAATAATATCAAATTTTTCATAGCTGTCTAACATGGGCAGTGACACCACGATCTGTTATTAAACATTCTTTTCTTGGCAAAAGGTGTCGCTTCGGCAATTACTGCTAGCAAAATGATTATTTCAAAATTGGATAGACTATAACGTGTATCTTATGGTCGTTGTTTCTATCTATTTTCTGTGGCATTTCTTGCGATCTGGCAGTAAATGGGACACTCCTATAAATGAGCCAATGTCGCTTTCCACACCGTTCAGTTCCCGCGATCTTTTTTATGTGCATCGGCTGCTACCTTCATGTGACTTAACCGTTGACGCCTTTGGCCTAACACTCGTCTCTTTGAGCTACTCTTCATTGAAATGTATACAAAACTGAAACTTCCAAAAGATCCAAAAGATGAAAGGTCTAGCCAATTGCACCTGCTGACCGTATGCCTACGGTACCTCTGGACCACTTTGTAACCCAAAGAACTTTACTATTACGCTTTCCTGTAATTGCTGTACTGTAAATGTAAATTTTATATTAGAGCATGCTTATAGGTTTTTATACACGTTACTCGTAGAGTAAAATGGTATACTAGATTCGTTGAAAAGTATGTAACAGGTAGAAGGAAGCGTTTCCGACCCTATAAAGTATATATAAGTTAACAACTAACTCCCAGCTTATGCTGAGCAGACCAATTCTTATTCCCTTTATTAATATTAGTTATTTATTAATACTAATCATTTTTTACTCATCATTTTTATTATTATTATTATTATTACACTTTCTATACCTCTCATGTATGGTCCACCTTAAATTGGTTCCACCCTAAGAGGCCCTAGAGCTCAGCCAGCTTGTTGTACCTTGTTGTATGGGCCGTGGCTTTGTCTCATTGGCTGACAGCTATCGTATGACTTCTGCGAAATGTGCGTAGTTAGAGGTCGGCCAAGGGCATACGGGCATGTATGAGCTTTTGTTAGTTCTTAAGCTCAGTTCTATTTGGATGTTTAAATCAAGAGCACCAGCTCCTATTCATGAAACTCCGGAACTTAGCCGTTAAATCTCTTATTAATAATTATCCTTCCGCCGTAATCTTCCTATCTCAACATAGGAGCAATACGACCATCCTTTGGGATCTACAGCGACGAGGGCCACTTACACACAAGTAACAGTGCATATAAATTCCAAGCAATAGGAATTTTTTACGAATAAATGAAAAGTGACTCGATTTTCGAGTTCGGGTTCAGATTGGTTTTGGTGCGTTACAAAAATAAGAAACATACAACTCAAGTTAAGTGCTGGCGATTTTTATGTAAATAAATAATTAAAATATTAAATTGCACGGTATTTCCATATTTTTGGTTTTGTTCGATTCGGATTTCTTCGAGTGCATTAAAGAATAAAGAAACCCAAATAGCTCAAATGACGCACACTGGTGCCAAGGCAATCAATATTTATATGAATTAATTATGCAAAAAATATTTTAGTTCTTTATTGGTGTTGGTCTCTATTCTCCTTATGTTTCGTTACAATTTTATCCACTGTGCCTATATTGAATTTCGTACTGAAGTTATCCAGTGTGTCTGTGCTAATAATACACGCAGTCGAATTGACCAATACGTGTTGTTTCGCTCTCTTACCGTTCTGTATTTTAATTGTGTTTTTTGGGACAAATTATTATTATTATTATTATTATAAAAGGTAGAAAAGATTACAAAACTAGACTAGCTTAATGATATAGCGTTGGCTACTGTTTTGGGACAAATTAATCCAACATTTTTGTGTTAGGTAACGATCCATTATTTTTCGTTAATTTGATTTTTCTCGGCTTTTACATCGCAAAAAAAGTGGCCCATCGAAACCTTTTGCCTCGTGTCCCAGTCGTTATATACCTATATATATATATCTGCCCAATATTAACAACGCTAACCTACCCAGCTTCCTTAGCTGCCAATATGTAGAGGTCTATAAAAGAGCAGTGCGACCCTGAAATAAGATGCGATGTCAGGTTAGACATAGTAAAATCTCTGCCGTCGTTCAATGAAAGCCACGATGAGTACGTTTCGTGGAGGCAGGCTGCATCAGGTGCATACGAAGTATTCAAAAAATTCGTCGAGTGACAGTTTGCTGGCAGAACAGTAAAAATTTTCATTGACACGGGAGCGGCAAAAAATTCTTGTCATCATTAAAAACAAGATTTGCGGTTCCGATCGGTCACTCCTCTCGTCCCATAACACCGTGCTGAATTTTGAAGCAATTCTAGCCAGACTAGATTGCACATACGCGGACAAAACTTCCCTGAGAGTGCTACGGCAAAATTTGGAGATGGTTCGGCAAGGAGATGCCGACCTCATGGCATACTATGACGAGGTCGAGAGGAAACTCACGCTCGTCACCAACAAAATAGTCATGTCACACAACACGGACACAGCAACGGTCCTAAATAAGGAGGTTAGGGATGACGCCCTTCATGCATTCATTGCAGGGCTTAAGAGACCACTCAAGTCACTTGTGCTACCAGCACAACCCAAAGACCTTCCGACTGCACTAGCGTTAGCGCGGGAAGCCGAGAACAGCATAGAAAGAAGTGCGTTCGCGGCATCTTACGTGAAATCTATAGAAGACAAGACCCCTTTCAATGAGGGCAACAGGCGCAAAAATAAAGGTCAGGGAAAGCAATGGAGAGGTGAAGATAAAAATCCGCACTTCATTCCTAAGCAGTATCAAAGCAGGCCTCAAGAGGACAATTCCTCTCCGAAGCTCAGGGATCCTGAGACCCTAGACCACAATAAAGTTCAGCCCATGAAGGTAGACCCCTCAACGGCTAAATTTAGACAAGGTACAAGCTGGGAAAAGCCACAAAGTAATAAGTGGCAGAACTCGTCCCAGCGGCAATCGGGCCAAAGACGCCAACGCTTCAATATTATAGCCCAGTCCCAACAGGAGGAAACAGATTATGCCGCCACAGCTGAGGCTGAAGCTGCCACCATTGAGGAAGATAGCGACACCGACGAGCTTAACGACCTGCTCCATTTTTTAGGGAGCGCTCCGATCGTCGAGCGACAGTTGGCTGGCAGAACAGTAAAAATTCTCATCGACAAGCCCGTAGAGGAGCTAAAAAACGTAATGCCGGTCGATACCCCTTTCACTGTGAGCTCTATTCACGGCTCCAGTGACGTCAAAAACAAATGCATAATGCGCATTTTTGGACTAGACGTCCCATTTTTTCTCTTGGATACACTGGGCACGTTCGATGCTATAATAGGCTTCGATTCGCTAACGCGAGCAGGAGTAGCATTGGACCTAGGCAACAGCGTAATAAAATACGCGGACGTCACCGAAAAGATCACATTTTTTGACTGTCACAACGTCAATTTCACAAAAATCGATGATATAGTGGTGCCAAGTTCGTCTGAAGCCGAATTCAATAAAATCATTCTGAAATGAATTAAGGTTTTTTCGACCCCTAACGAGGAGCTCACCTTTAACACTTCGGTCACCGCTACTATTCGAACGACGAGTGACGAACCTGTCCACTCCAAGTTATACCCCTATCCTATGGGTCAGCAGACTTTGTAAACAAAGAAATCAAGGAGATGCTGCAGAATGGCATAATTTTGCCGTCCAGATCCCCATACAACAGCCCTACCTGGGTGGTTGACAAAAAAGGGCCTGACGGTAATGACATCAAGAAGAAGCGATTAGTAATCGACTTCAGGAAGTTGAACGAGCG